CTGTGAAGCATTAGCTCGGTTCTTTGCAGAAAAAGTTTGATCCGCTCCGACCAGCACAACACTTTAACTGCAGTCTCTTAAGATGTAACACAAGCAGCTGCTTGTCTGGTTTTACTGAATTCATTTCAGTTGGTGTTACCCGAGCATGTGGACAAGATCCTTGGAGAGGTGATGACAATCACATGCATCCTGGACCCGAGCCCATCCTGGCTGATAAAGCAGGCAAAGGGGGGTTTGGCGGAGTGAGTGAAGGTGGTGGTTAACTCCTCCCTACAGGAAGGCAAGATTCCAGCCAGCCTAAAAGAGGCTGTAATAAAATCACTGTTGAAAAAAAAAATATCACTGAATCCCACTCAATTGAACAATTTTGGCCACTTTCCATTCTCCTCTTATTGGGTAAAGTCTTGGAACATGTGGTCACCTCGCAACTTCAGGTGTTCTTTGAAGAAATGGATTATCTAGATCCATCACAGGCTGGCATTAGACTGGGTCATGGAACTGAGACAGCTTTGGTCTCCTCTCTACGCAGAGAACTGGACAGGGGGAGTGTGTTCCTGTTGGTTCTCTTTGACCTCTCAGCGGCCTTCGATACTGTAGACCATAGTATCCTTCTGGGATGCCTCGCAGGAATGGGACTTGAGGGTACTGTTCTGCAGGGGCTCCGATCCTTCCTGGAGGGCAACTCCCAGAAGGCGTTGTTGGGGGACACCTACTCAGCCCTGCAGTCATTGTCTTGCGGGGACCCTCACAGGGTTCAGTATTGACTCTGGTGGAGATCATCTGAAGTTTTGGAGTTTGATGTCATCTGTACGCAGATGACATCCAACTCTATCACTCATTTCCACCGACTGCTAAGGGGGCTGTCCAGATCCTGAACCAGTGCTTGGAAACTGTGATGATCTGGATGAGGGTGAACAAATTAAAATTGAGTCTTGACAAGACAGAGGTACTCCTGGTCAATTGAAAGGCCGAACAGGGTATAGGGTTACAGCCTGTGCTGGACAGGGTTACACTCCCCCTGAAATCATAGGTTCACAGCTTGGAAGTTCTCCTGGAATCTTCACTGAGCCTGGAACTCCAGTTGGTGTCCAGTGGAGCTTTTGCACAATTAAAACTTGTGTGCCTGTACCTTGAAGAACCAGACTTGGTCCATGCTATTGTCACATCTTGAATTGACTACTGCAATGCGCTCTACGTGGGGTTGCCTTTGAAGACTATTAGGAAGCTTAAAGTAATCCAATGGGTAGCAGCAGCCAAGCTGCTTACCAGGGTGGCATACAGGGAGCATACAACTCCCCCCCCACCCTGTTACGCCAGCTTCACTGGCTGCCAGTGTGCTACTGAGCTCAATTCAAAGTGCTCACTTTAGCCTATAAAACTATAAATGTTTCTGGTCCAGCTTACCTGTCCGAATGTATCTCCCTCTATGAACCACTTTGGGCATTAAGATCTGCCGGGGAGGCCCTGCTCCTTTGCAGGTGCAACTGGTGAGGACAAGGGACAGGGCCTTCTCGGTGATGGCCCCTCATCTGTGGAACTCCCTCCTCAGTGAGATCACATCAGGCCCTGTCCCTTGTCCTTCCTCCTGGTCTTCAGAAAAAACATTAAAACCTGGCTGTGGAACCAGGCGTTTTGGGAATAGCTTAATTATAGTGCAATATACTTTCACAGTATTTATTATTGGCATTTGTATCCCGTCTCTTCTCAACCCCCAAAGGGGGACTCAGGACGGCTTACATTAGTAACGGTACTGATATAAATGAAGCAGTGGGGATGATGATTACAAGATTGGTGCTATGTTTTTAATATGTTTTAATGGTTTTAATTGTATTTATATGTTTAGTGATTTTATAGTTTGTGTTATATGCTGTTTTTCTTATGTATAATGTGGCATTGAATAATTGCCAAACTAGAAGCTGCTCTTAGTTGCCTTCGGGGTGAGATAGAGTGGGGTAGAAATATAGTAAATAAATAAATAACCTCAAATAAATAAATAAATAAATAAATAACATTTTGCACCAAATGGCAATGATCAGGTGAATGCATTTACTGTGCAGACATGAGCACATTTTCAAATCTTGTGAGAGCAGTAGTTCAGGACTTGGAGGCTACACAGCGTAGCATTGAGAATTGTAGTATTTGAGTGTAATGGGGCCAGTATGCATTCTTTCTGCATTCAGTATGCATTCAGTCACACAAAATAACCCTACTGATAGAAATAGATTTCCTAATGTGATGAAGACCTAAGTCTAACTGGGTTTATACACACCCACACATTTTCATGATTTTGAATTGTTTTAAGGAGTTTCAGTTGTTTCTGATCTGTCTTTGTTAGGTTGTTTAATACGTTTTTGGGGCTTCAGGTTGATTTTATTGTATGTTTTCCTGAATTTTTAGATAGAGGGCTGGATATAAAGAAATTGTACTGACAAATTAAAATCAGAGTATGAGGGTTGCAAGTTCACGAAGATCTGTACCAATCTATAAAGGTCAAATATAGCCACATGCTTTACTGAAAATGATCAGATCTCAGTGTTCCAACAACTTGTCTGCAAGGCAGGCAGTGAAGGAGATTTCTGTGAAATGTGAGCCAAGTTTTGCCATGGCAGTTAATTCTTTGCTTCCTCTGTCTGTAAATTGATTAGAGGGGATGGATTTAATTAACCATGCTCATACACACAGAGAGCATTTGGCAGCATCCTCCTTCTCAGCTTGGAGAAAAGCAGAGAGATAAACAGATTAGTGTCTTCACCAACTGAGCAGGGAGAGATAGCAAACCTCAGATAAGCAAACTCATTTGGTAAGCAGTCAGCCTAATATTGACCATGTTTACTCTCCAGTAATTGTGCTAAGAAAACAAAGATGAGGATCATTTCCACACTTAAAGGTGAATTACTCACAGCCATTTAGATGTTGTTGGACTCCGCTCCCATGGTTCCTTGGTATTTATTAAACTGGCTAGGGTCAATGGGAGATACAGTTCAACATCATTTGGAAACTGCATGTTTCCTATTCCTTGTCTAAGAGAGTCCCCCGATGCATTGTGTTGCAACATTGAAATAGATGGGTTCCTAATAAATAGGAACATATAAATCTTCCTGATGGTAAGAACTGTTTGGGAGTGGAATATGATGTCTACAAGCATGATGGAGTCTTGTTTTCTTTAGGTTTTTTTTAAAGCAAAAGGTAGATGGCTATCTGTCAGAGGTGTTTTGATTGTGTATTCCTGCATGGTCAAAAAAGGATTGGACTGGATGGCCTTAGTGGTGTATCCCAAATCTATGATTCTTTTGTGCACATTTACTTAAATGTAAGATCCTTTAATTTAGTAAGTCATGTACTGAGCAAACGGTTCAAACACTATACAATGGATGCAAGAACAGGAAAGATAGAGCTACTCCTTTCAAAAAAACATGTATCATTTTCTTATTATTTGAAACCACTTTTCAGAAATCTAAGATTAGCCGCAAGCATATATCCACTTCAATAACCAATCGATGTCAGATTTTCTGCAGGAAAAACATCCTTAAATACTAATCATTTTATTATGGCTTTAACACAAGTGCTTTTCTGAGTTAGATTTCCCATTACAGTATTTGTTCCTCTGGCTAGATGTTCTTCCTTTCTCTTTGCATGATAGCTCAGTAAAAACAGATCTCAACTGTTGGGACATTATCCACCAAATTGTTAGTGTGTTACCCTGCAGTTCAAATCTTTTTGATGCTGTGAGACTTCCTCACAGGCAGACCGTTATTTGGCAAGACAGTATGATAGCACATCATGCTCCATATCTTGGTTTCCAGGAGAGCTAGGACATTTTCTTTATTATTTTTTTCAAAAAAGTATACTTGAAACCAGTGGCAGTTGTTCAATCAAGTATTGAGTTGCATACCTGGAAACTATAAAATCTGACTAGCAAGTTGATACGGCAATCCTACACTTGATGGCCAGCAAATATCTGATGTATTGTATCTTTCTTCTCTCATAAAGAATGTGCCATGGGTCAACAAAATTACAAAAAGTTTGTTTTTTGTTTTTATTTTTGGCTTGAATTGAAAATTTCCAGAAACTTAGTCAAGATCTGCCTGGAAGTCCAGGTGCTTGGTTGGAGCTCTGGATATATCTACTGGATGCCTCTCCATTTTCTGAACAGCAATTCCTTTGAAAGTTCATGTTTGTGAATCCCCATTTCATGTTAAATCTGTATATACGTGCAAATAAAGGTTGTTGTCGTAAAAATGTCATAAATCCCTAGTACTGTACTTTTAAGAAACCAAAGTCCTGGGAAATGCTTATACCTCTGGAGTTCTCAACACGCTGAAGTGCTGTGCACATGTATAAGAATATGCTAATTTGGTGTTTTATAAAAGCAAAGTAGAGTTTCCATATGCTCTTTCCCTCTCAAGGAAAGGCCAAAAAGGTAGCCAGCTGTGTTGATCTACATCATGTTTCCATCTTTGTCAGAAGTAGGTCTTTTATACAGCTAAGATTCCTTTATAATCATTTCCTCATGAGAGAGTGACATGCTTATTGGAAGAATGGAAAACCTTTGTTTCTCCATCAGTTTTGCCTATAATTATCATCACCCTCACACAGCATGCCCTATTGTGAAGGACTGTGGAAGTTAACAATCAAATCATGTGGTGACAGAAGGTGTATCTACACTGCAGCATCAATGCAGTTTGACACGGCTTCAGCTGCTAGGGCTTAAAATGCTATAAAATTCTGGGATTTGTATTTGGTGAGACACCAGACCAAAGGCTAAAGACCTTGTAATACTACAAGTCTCATGATTCTACAGCATTTAATCATGGCAGTTAAAGTGGTGCCAAACTACAGAGTAGATGTACCCAGAGAAGCATTGCTCTAATGAATTCCTAGAAGAGGTGATTCATTTGTTCAGGGCTTGCACAGGGAAGCACTTTGTTGTCCTCTCTCTCTTTATGCTTTCTGCTCTTTGAGTAAATACTGGATACTCAGAACATATGTGAATTAGAAATCAGTTTTAAAAGACTCTTATTTTTACCCATTCATATAGTCATTTTAGGAGCATAAGTCTGATGTTTTGTACTGCAGAACAGGGATGTTGTGTTTTTAACGACTAATCACAGCACAGGGGCATGACAGTACAGACCTCAAAAATAGAAGAATTCTATGTTTAGCTTTACATTTGTTCTTTGTACTTAAATATATCCATTGCTCAGTATGACATAATAATGACATCCATCAATATGGGGCCTGAAGAGACTAAATATTATTTTGAAAGAGCTGTGCTTTGTCCCACCAACTACCGTACTTGATAATATAGCAAATGCTCAACTTGTAAACATAGGCAAACTCACATTTAGGACCTCATAAAAGTGGGGTGGGGGGAGGGTGTCTTCGTTTTAGCATGCTACCAAGATGGAGCTAGGATAGAGTCCACCAGAGCCCAGCACAGATAAAGGGCTACTTCCAGTGGGGATCCATTGGGCTCTATCCTGGAAGAATGCTAAAAGGAAGAAAAGAGGATATGGGTGACTACCTGTAGCCTCATTGAAGAACCTGAGGACAGTGCAGGAGGAAGCTGGGGACAGCCAGAAAACGTTGTGGAATGAAGCCCATGAGACACAACAGTAAGGGGATAAAGCTGGGCATGGTATACCTCATGGTGTTCTTCACTGTCCCATGGCTTCTGGGCCTCCATCTGATGAGGTTCTTATTGAAATAGCATGACTTTTCACATTTAAACTGTATACAACTGTACATACTGCTGATTTCAGAAGGGGGCTGCCAAAAGCCCCAGTAAACACAACTCTCTTCACATCTTTGAACAACATGAATTAATACTGCAATAAAAATACTCAAGATCCTTGGCGAGTCTATTTGATGTTGACCTGCTTTCCTCACTCTTACAGGCTCATCACACTAGTCCATGGATCCACTTTAAATCAGGTTACTGCTTCCTGCAGAATTCTGGGATTTCTAGTTTAGTGAGGCCCAGGGCTTCTCTGGCTGAGCTGCTTAAAGACCCTCCTTAAACTACAAGCCCCAGAATTCTGCAGGAGTCAGAAAATCTAGTGTGATGCGGCTCCTTTTCAAATGGTAGTGCTATGGCTTTATTTTAACTGCTCTGGCAACATCCTATGGAATGCTGAGATTTGCAGTCAAGGAAAGGGCATGTACAATATTTACCAAAAGAGCTCCTCTGGTGCCTGTTACTGAATTGCAAACCCCAGGATTCCCAGGGAGACAGCCTTGTCAGTTAAATTGTGCTATACACGTTTGCAGGTTTAACTTTTGCAGAGTTATTTGGGGATTCGATTTATCTATGAAAGTGTGCTGGTGTCTCGCCAAACCTCACCAAATTCCTTAGCATTTAACAATGGCAATTAAAGTTTTGTCATACTGCATTAAATCGAGAGTATATATGCACTTTCAGTCTTTTTAAAAAAGAAATTCCAGAGAGTCTGAAAGGATCAAGGACAGCATGGGAAAGGTTACATGTAGTCCCAGGGCTATACTTGACCCAACATTGCCTTAGTGCGAGATCATAAAATTGTTTTATGTGCAATAGATGGAGCCAAGGACTGTATGGAGGTTGGGACTAATGCAAGCTTATCTTTTTTCCCCAAGAGTTGGAAAAGCAACTTTTTTTTGACAAATCCTCTTTTTAGGGAATTGAAAGTCTAGTTTCCCAGAGTCTTACTCCTACATAGAAACCAACATATCATATTAGCTCTCTGTAGTTGGCTGACCAAAGTAAAAATCACACAGTTCTCCAGAACTTGTTGAAATGCACTTTTTTAGCATCACTTCCTGGATATTCTGGCAAGGAAACCTGGACACGGTAGTTCTACAATATTTGGAGGGCCACACAAAGGCAGCAGTGTGCCTCTCTGCACAATTATAGCCTTCAGATACCACTTTAATCACCTCTGTTCATCCTATGGTGCAATATTAGATCTCCTGGCTCTGAGTCATTCTGATACCATAAAATCCCAGGATTCCCGAGGTTGGAGATAAAATGGTATCAAAGCACTATAACTGGGCAGCATGGGTATCAAAGCACTATAATTGGGCAGCATGGGTATCAAAGCACTCTAATTGAGCACCATAGTGCACTGCAGTTCCGCCTTGGCCACTAGCCTTTTCCAATTTGTATAGACATCTCCCACTTTAGAAAGATGATATGGACACATCTTTCCATGGCAGGAGTATTAGGACGAAGGGTCTTAAAATGGCAGTGGACAGCAAATCAGGACAGCTGGGCTTACATTGGATCCTAGGGGAGCAGGACGGCCACATTTTAAAAAGGCAGAACTCATGTACCTTAAAGAACAAATTATGCAAGCTTCCTCCCAACATTTACTGGGATAGTAGAACTCTCCTCTTAGTGCTGCCTCACAATGAGAGACAAATTTAATCCAGGAGTAAATAAATGAGATCAGCTCATCTGCAGCAGCTCCACCTATCAAAAAGATCTATAATTCCTTCACATTCTTCTGACTGAGGCTACCACAGGGCTGTGGATCTTGGGAAAACATTTTTTTGGATTATAGCTGCCAAGTATTCTCATGCTAACAGAACCTGTTTACTTATACATTGACCAGTTTACCACACTTAATTCAAGATTGCAATATCATCAATACACAATTAAAAGGGTTTGGCATATTATAATGCAAGTCCCTAAAAAGAAAGTGCAGGTATGGGCAGGTGTCTTCAAGTCTGCATTAAACCTTGCTCAATCACTTGCTTACATGCATTCTATCAGAGATGGGAATCATGCAACCCTCTTGGTCTTTTGTGACTGCAGTTCCCAACAGCCCCAGCCAATGGTAAGGAGTACTGGGAGTAGAAGTTCAACAAAACCTGGAGGACTACATGAATTCCATCCATTTTGTGGCCACTGTCTCAGGCACCTCTCTTTCTCTGCTAGCTCAACCACCAAGCAGAGAGCAATGGATGGGCATGACTGCTTTCAATATGTGGTGCATCATGGCAGAGGTTGGTTACCATTAATAAAACTGAATGTGACCATTGACTGGTTGGTGCTCTTGAGGGAGGCCACCCGTGTGGTGCTTCTGCCTGTGCTCTGGGACCGAATGAGAGGTCGGCCTTTGCAACATCTGAGCTGGTGATTGAACTGTTTCCGAAAGCTCTTGCTGAGCAAGTAGAGGGCAAAGGGATTGATGCAAGAGTTAGCAAATGCCAGGATTCGAGCGCAGAGGGAGGTGATAAAGTGCAAGACAGAAGTGTCCACTTCAGAGTAATGGTATGACCGGTATAAGTAGATGATGTGGTTAGGGAGCCAACAGATAGCAAAGATACAGACAAAAACCAGCACGGTCTTGGCTAGGCGTTTCCGAGATTCCATCTGAAAAGAACAAAGGGGATTTTATGTTAATGGCATGTAACATGGGAAGCTAGCTTTACTTTCCTATTATCTGAAGTAAACATAGGTGTCATTGCACTGGGTTAGCCATTATTGAAAATATAGTGGTGCTATATTTCATATAGTATATTGGAAAGAAAATGTTTTCTCTCAAAACAGATCCATTTCAAATACAGCTACAAATCATTTCTAAATGTGTTTCACTGAGAAGAAGCAGAACTGCATGAAACTTACTTCCATATAAAGCTGCACAGGACTGCAGCTTCGGAATATGGTGGACTCTATGAAAGTCCCTATCAATGCCAAAATATAGTGGGAAAATAATGAGACAGTATATACTATATATACTGTGATAGATCTACCTTTTAGTCGGCTAGGCCGAAGCCTGCATAGCAGTGTCTGGCATCTTGGTATTC